CTGTTTGCTTACGTTTTTGGGGTTTTTCCGTTATTTCGACTCTGCCGTGGATATGAAGGTGCACGTCGAAAGCTTGGCAAATATGACAGGAAATTGAAGTAGTAATTTGTTCAAATTTCTGGAGTATTTTTACATTTATTTTCTAAAGCTTTCGACCTACATCGTCATCTTGAGGGCAGATTTAAACATTTGAACATAAGAAAAGCGCAAGAAAACGTTAGCAAACAGCGTAGAGCGTGCGCGTACTGATGCGCGTGCAGAAAATCAAACTATCAAATAAATGATATCATTGGATGATATTTTCAGAATGGATTCTAATAAATAGCATCAAAGTGTGCACATGATGGGGCACGGGGATTCCTTCTCTTAGTTCATTTTCTCTTGGTATCATGTATGAACTACGAATACTCTTACCATAAGGACAAAACAAGTACTTTTTTCGCTCGTTCGTCATGCTAGTTTGTTGCTCGTTTTTTAATGTTGTAGCTATGTTATCTACACTAAGTAAAACAAAATAGAAAATGTCCTAACCACTATCTTCACAATGTGGCGAATTCTTTTTTTCCATGATTTCTTAAATAATTTTTTGTTCCGTTTTTACAATTTTTACAAAAAAAATGATAGTTAAAAAGCTCGTTAAAAAAAGTCGTCATTTTCCAAGTGACGTGTGATTTGAAAGCTCGACCAATCAGAAACGCTAGGTACACCTGGCGGGCGACACTTTTAGCGTTACGCACAGGGTTCCCATGCGATGACCACGAAAACTGAGTTGCATAGTTTACCATATTCTATACCTATGGAGCTCCGCTATTACTTCTTGTTTTTTCTTTCATTTTTTTATATTTGCTGATGTATATTAAACTGGATAAAATCCGCACTGATCTTGTAGACTGTTTTTGACACATAAATTCTTACAAATTTGTCATATAGGTGAGGAAGCCGTTTTCAGCAGAGAATATTTCGAAATACTATTGTAGGAGTAGCGTTTGTAGTCTAGATGGTTTTGCTTTGCTAATATGAATGTTGATATTAAGCACTTATTGGCCGTTTGGGAGGGCCGTACAGGGAAATATTTGGCTGGAGATAATGCTGCACGGACTGAGAGTAGCGAGATCTTTAAAAATGTTTGTGGGGACCAGGTGAAATTAAAGGCGTTTGAAAAGCGCATGTGGTCACTCCCAATGTCCATCAAGTTGGCGCATGAGTTCTTTTATGAATTTGGATATTGAAAAGAAAAAGGTTTTGTTGTTGACAATGAAATACAAGAAATGCATCAGGTGTAAAATATTTAATTAAACATTTGACTTAATATAACAAGAAGTTTAACGCAACTAAAAACAAGAATATTAAAAACACTGATTTAGTTGAATAAGGAATGAAAATTCAAGATATTTAATCAATAAGATCATAAGAGTGTATAATCTTAGAAATGGTGCATTAAATATTTAAATCACATGCATTGGTTTTGAGAATATGTTTTCCAAAATCTCGATTCATAGATTAAGTTGAGATATTTAGGAGATGATTTTTATTAATATTTTTGTGAAATAGCTATTTCAAAATAAAAACAAACGGCCGCTGTTCATCAAGATTAAACATGGGCCTTTAATGCTGTTTTACTGATGAAGTATTTAAACCCCAAGTATAAATTTGGATGTAAATTGAAACTGTCGAAATTGAACATGAATATGGAAGTACTATAGAGTGTAGGAAATGGCAATAGTAATAATAATAATAATCTAAAATAGTCGATTTTCACTGTCGTGTGATTTGAAACTAAAGTACCTCTAAAATCCTTTATGTATACTGAATAGTTATCATATCTCCCTGTGTTCTCTTGTGCAGCACCAGGCCTACGGGCAAAAATCTCAAATTAACATCGGCAATGGGAAGAATGTACTGTAAGAGTGGGGGTTTAGCAAAGGATAGGAGTGGATCATTGGAGAAATGAAAAGAAAGGGTGTATTTTACGGCACTACTTCACGCGTAAAAGCAGCTTCTGGTCCATGCCGTCTCCTCTATGCTTGTCATAGCCAGTCTTCGTTCATTTTCTTCTCCCTCGTGTTCCTGTGCTTCATTGTGATGTATTTTGAGGCTGATGCTTTCTTTTTTCCCTTCGGGTATGCCTTTTAATTTTAATGTAATCTTCAACGAAATCTTTTGAGCTTCTTTTATTCAAAACCATTTCTTTTTTTAAGTTTCGAATAGCTTTGACAGCCTCGGGCTCGGATTCTTTTATGAGTTCATCGATAGACGTATAGATGAAATAGATGTATATAGGAATAGATATGGCTGACACAATTCCACCAAAGAGATGTGCAGCCCGACCTGCTTCTGTAAGAGTTTGGAAAGTGGTCGTCGCTAATCGGGTCCCCTGACTAACGCCGACTTTAGTTGTCAACGAAGCATTGGTTAAGGCAGAAAAGAAGCTTCGAATCTCTTCACTCTTCATATTGTTGTTTAACATGAAATCGTTTGGTAAATTTTGTAAACATCTATAGATCTCTGCGTCCTGTCTGTCTTCGTCTTGAGAAACATATCTCTCAAAGTTTCTTTCAAACAATGCGTCAAACTTGTCAAAGTCTTTGCGAAGAGACTGACTCTCCAAGATGTCATCTGCAATGTCTCCACGGATGTTTTTTAGTTGTACTCTTGATATGACTTTCTCAGTTACTTGTGATCCTGCGGTAACTAGACCCCCAGTTGCTGCCATCGCTGTTCCAGCAATCATGACCGGTACTGCAATACCAGCTGTGAAAAATGAAGCTATGAAGCCCCCAAGAGCTATGCCTCCTCCGATCAATGCAGCAGTCGAGCTTGAGGCTTTAGCGATGCCGACATCTCGATGAACCTTCTTCAGATTTTTGATGACGTCTTTTAAATCTCGTTCTTGTATATTCTCGATAGTCCTTGCTCGAACAGCCTTCCATGCATCGTAATGAGAAACTAGGACCTTTTTCATCTCTTGGATGTCGTATCGACTAACATCTGTGGTAAAGAAATCATCATCTCTCATTCCGTGAAAATGATGAAGAAGATCACATTCATATCAATCATCTTCATCATCATCATATTTTGAATATTATGAAATATAAAACTCACTAAATAATTCATACGATAACTTACCATCCTTAAAATTTTCATCGCGTTTTAATCTTCGAGCAACCTCTAGAGCGGAGATTCTGTCATCTGGGTTCACTTGTAAACAGGATACCAAAAGTCCTTTCAGAGGATGATGGTCATCCATGTTTTGTACATCGCTTTGCACTTCAAGTCAATATATTTTTAATTAGTACTAATCATTATCAACTACATTATCAGCATCAGCATCAGCATCAGCATCAACGCTATCAGCATCATCTTCATCATCACCATGAGTATTCATCAACCACAACAACAGCATCTTCATCATGATATTTTTTATTGCATCAAGTGATCATCACCATCATCATCATCATCAACAACAACAAAAGCAACAGTAGCAGTAGCATCATCTTCAACTTCATCATCTTTTCCATCATCACCATCATTATCTCATGACACACCCTTAACCTATTTTTCCGACTTTTTTACTCCGACGAAGGACTAGCGTCCAAAACGTAAGTTTTTTCATCTTTTCATCTTTTCATCTTTTCATCTTTTCATCTTTTCACGGTGTATAATTTACCCTTTTATCATTACGGTTTCATTAGAAACACCGACGCAGCTCACACTAGTTTTTAGCTTGTTATCTCTTCTTATTTTTCCGACTCATAAGCAATTATTGGATGAGTTTGAACATGGCATCGTAAATTATCAAGATCGAGTTCTGTGCTGTCTGCTGAAGCCACAGGCCGAGGCGGATAAAACAGACTCGAGGTCTTGATAATTTACAATATTCATGCGAAAACCAAATTCAATAAATTATGTATTATACGTTTTGTAAACTAAGAATAAAAATTTTATTATGATTTTTTTAAAATAACAAACGTTTTTCAATTTCTCCTGCAACTTTCATTGAACTTGAGGTAGTATACCCTACATTTCATATTCCGGCTGCGTTACCAGCGTGGTCGGTCCTTGTAGTGTAGTGGTTAACACATCGGACTAGAATACCGAAGACGTGGGTTCGATTCCCGCCAAGGGCATTTGATATTTTTCTCTTATTCTCTCTACTTCATTATACACACCGAACGCATAATTTATACTATATATTTTTTTAGATTTTTTAGATATTTCTTAACTTGTAGATGTTTTATCCTTTCTACTTAAACGTTTCTGAGTTACTTAAAACTTTTCGAAGCCAGGTTTTTCGAAACACAGATTTTCAGTTCAGTACTCACGTCCTTTTAATTTGGTGCTTTTAGACGATTATCAAGGCTTTCAATAATATTCGATAATATGCTACTAAATCTACGAACTCCTAAAAAGAAGCAAAGAACAGTGAGATATAAAGCCCATAATTTGATAACTTACTTCACTCCTAAAGAACTTATTGGCTACAAATTAACGCATTAGAATTTACCTTGTTGGCTGGTCACGAGAGGTTCAGGGGGTTTTCCAATACACATTTCCAGCGATATCATCCCCAAGGAGAATACGTCGACGGCTGGGCTGAACTTATCCGCCAACAATTCGTTGCAAATGTTTCCGTATATCTCAGGAGCCATGTATCTGTCCTCGTTTCCCGTTATTATCATCGACTCAAAAGATTTTTCAAATGTCAGGGCCAGACCCGCATCAGCAATCATTGCCCGAAACTTCCCTTTTTCTTCAATCTTAATAAGAATGTTGTTAGGTGTGAGGTGACGATGTACGATGATAGTCCTCTGTTCTGGATCGTGTAAGAAATTCAAAGCCTTAGCAACTTGTCTAGTTATCCTTGAGATATCTTCAACGAATATCTTAGGTGCTGTATCTTCACGATTGATGAAACTAGGAAGATTATACTCCATGAACTCCGTTACACACTCCAGGCGAGATTGGCCCCAGCTTGTTGTCAAGTTAACGCTTTGGAGCCTTGCGAAATAGATATTCTCCTGTAAGAAATTTCCAAGCCTTTGATATTCTTGGCAGAAGGTATCCATTTCTTGCCGATAATCCATTGATACAACAGATATCGTCTTCACTACCACGGCATTATCCTTTACCACCTTGTGCGATGTTCCAAACGATCCTTCTCCAAGGATGCTATTCGACTTCCCACTGAACCTTTTTCCAATACTACTCATAGTTATTTCTGACCTTTCTATGAGTTCTTTAACTAAGATCTCTTTTTTATCTATTTTCCATAGATTTAATAATTAATATGCGTCGCATTTAAAATTTGCAAAATAACCTTAGACTCGAGGTGATTGGAAGTCAAGGATAACTCAAGACATCGAGTAGCTATATTAAAGTTTATATCAAGGAAAAAATTTACATCAGATTTGCAAGAAAAAGAAGAATTAAAAATGCTAGTTTCTGAATAAGTCTGTGCCAATCTAATCAGTCTAATGATATGACTGCAGTATTCATTCTTTCATTCATTCTTTCATTCATTTTTTTCGACCGATTTGGATTTCTGAGAAATGGAAGCTGAGTTGGTGGTATAAGAGCCACATATATTGACTCTCAGAGAGATCGTAACCTGATTGGTGGTTCTCAACACTTTTGAGTTATAATTAAATAACGTGACTTATTTGCACATGCCCGAATTGCCCGTTTCCATGCATGGTTTCCATGATGGTTTCACCGTTGTGGACGGTCGGCGAAAATGCGTAGAAAAGTAAACCGTTTCAAACGAAAGACGTATAAGTGTAGTTACGTCCTAAACGCTTTAAAATCTAGCATGGATGATACGTTTTCTACGATATAAAAGCGAAGGGATTTGAGAAAAGTGCACGAAGGTTAATTATTTTTTAATCTCTTTTGACTAGAACGCGAGTATTACATGGATGACTGGTGTCTGGGGAAGATCTTGGAAGGGATGTGTTATTTGTGTATGGGAGAAACTGAAAAAGGCCGAAGATGCTTGATAGCTGCTGTGGAAAAGTAAGTAAAACTCACAGCTGCGCAAAAAAAATGATAATAATAACATGGCAGTGCCTCCAGCTGCAATTTTCAAAAGACTATATAGGGAAATAATTACTTATAATAATTATATAGAGGATATTACATGGGCGCGCGGAGATACGAATTTTATCTTCGAGTGTTGAAAAGATCTCACTCGTTCGCTGCGCTCACTCGTGAGATATTTTCAACACGAGAAGATAAAATTCGTATCTCCAAGCAGCCTTGTAATATTCTGTTTATTATATAAGTATCAATGAATTATGTTTTGGCTTTGTCAGGCAATTCTTTTCGTGTATTTTTGAATAGCCATCGCAATGGTGTTATTTTCACACGTGAAAATAACATGTTATTWTCACGTGTGAAGATATCAATTTTTCGAAATAGAGAAAAATAGATATTTCATTGGTAATTATATAATAAAACAAAAGAATCCTTTTCGTGTATTTTTGAATAGCCATCGCAATGGTGTTATTTTCACACGTGGAATTTCATGTTATTATCACGTGTGAAGATATCAATTTTTCGAAATAGAGAAAAATAGATATTTCATTGGTAATTATATAATAAAAATAGATATTTCATAGGTAATTATATAATAAAAGTAATTATTTCCCTATATAGTCTTTTGAACATTCAATAATAGGCACGTCACCTTATTGATGGTTTTCAACCATTCCCAGGAGAATTAAATAACAAAAGACACGGCAGCCATGTTGGAGGATATAACAAAAGAATTCATTGATAATTCTTTTGTTAAGTTCCTCCAACATGGCCGCCGTGAAAACCATCAATAATTGATGGTTAAATTATCAATGAATTCTTTTGTTTTATTATATAATTACCAATGAAATATCTATTTTTCTCTATTTCGAAAAATTGATATCTTCACACGTGATAATAACATGAAATTCCACGTGTGAAAATAACACCATTGCGATGGCTATTCAAAAATACACGGAAAGAATTGCCTGACAAAGCCAAAACATAATTCATTGATACTTATATAATAAACAGAATATTACAAGGCTGCTTGGAGATACGAATTTTATCTTCTCGTGTTGAAAATATCTCACGAGTGAGCGCAGCGAACGAGTGAGATATTTTCAACACTCGAAGATAAAATTCGTATCTCCGCGCGCCCATGTAATATCCTCTATTTATTATATAATTACCAATGAAATATCTATTTTTCTCTATTTCGAAAAATTGATATCTTCACACGTGAAAATAACATGTTTTTTTTTACGTGTGAAAATAACACCATTGCGATGGCTATCTAAAAATACGCGGAAAGAATTGCCTGAAAAAGCCAAAACATACTTCATTGATAATTATATAATAAACAGAATATTACATTGGCGCTTGGAGATACGCAATTTATCTTCTCGTGTTGAAAATCTCTCACTCGTTCACTACGCTCACTCATGAGAGATCTTTTCAACACTCGAAGGTAAATTTCGTATCTCTGCGCGCCCATGTAATATCCTCTAAATATCCTCCAACATGGCTGCCGTGTCTTTTGTTATTTAATTCTCCTGGGAATGGTTGAAAACCATCAATAAGGTGACGTGCCTATTATTGAATGTTAAATTTGAGCTTACGATGTGCGTGCGTACGAAAAAACTGCTCGAAATTGCTCAAACCCAGAGACTTTTCAATTCGCTGAAAATCGTTGGCTATTGAGTAGGCTCTGGGTACGAGATCGTTGGGCTTCCTGTGTTTGCCATTCCACAGGGAACCCATGTATCCAGGTTCGATTTTTTTAGCCATTTCAAAGCTGTGAAGGGAAGACTTGTTTATATTACACACATCACATGATTGATTTGTCTTGACAGGTCTCAAGATCTTGTTCTTGACAAACAACTTGGAGCATATGCCTGTGCTGAAATAGGATTTCTTTATATGGACCAAGGAAACTATGTCCAAGCAAAGAAATATCTCAAAAGTGCAAGGTAATCCCCTATTAACCTAAGAGTCCTCATTCTAACTGCCCCCTCCCCCAAAAAACACTCACAAATACCAAGCATGCAACTGTTTCCAGTGACGTATCAAGCCAATTGAGATACTTGGCCATGGTACTTAAGGAAACAGGAGGGGAAGATACAACAGTGCACTCTCTTCTCTCATCTATGGGGTCTCAGCATTCAATTTGTGGAATCATCATTTCATTTAATTGGAGTTTTCTGCCCTTCCTTCGATTTTGTGATTTTTCTCCTGCTTCTCTGTCATTTTTTTAATGTTTCAAACACAGATATTCACATGTTATTTGATTACAGTCATGATTACCAAGGGTATTTTCTGGAAAGTCGTCTTCACTTTCGAATCCATTCTGCTCTACACAAGATCAAGATAATCGAAAAGGAACACAAGTTAGCCATGAAAAAGGTCAAGAAAAACAACAATACAGTTGAGAACTCAGTAAGTGATGATTCTGAAGCTTCTGAGGATGGGTCAAATTACAGCACGGCTTCCGAGGGTGGAAAAAGTGACATGGTTTTTGATGGGACAGTAGAAGATTTTGTAGATGCTCAGACAGATGATACAAGAGCATCTTGCTCTTTGAATACAGATGCCGATGGTCCGAGTCAAGGTGTTGCTAATAAAAATGGAAAATCTGGTACTAATTCCTTAGGGACAGGTTCATCAAAACCCATAGTATCCCAGAATCCCTCAAGCCAGAACAACAATCAACAAGTCCCTAACCTGCTTCTAGAAACTTCTCTTTGATGTAGTTTTTTTGAAATTCAACATTAATCATTTTCGAGGATGATGTTTGGAAAAATTTTATATATTTATCTACATATTTAGGCCCCATCCACACTATGCCGGATAAATTTGAATCCGAATTTTTATTTATTTGGTTAGACCTACTGTCCACACTAGTCGGGGCGGATCCGGAACAATTCTTCACCGAAAACGAATTTTTTCGAATACGGTCTCCAGAGTGAAACAATTTGAAAACGCCGGCTAGCCATATTAGTGTGGACGGAGAACATTTCGTATCTGAAATTTTTGGAATACGATGACGTGATGATTGTCATGGGAAGATGGCGAGAAGGCTATGCAGGCTCAATTTCAGCTTCAATGCACATGCTCAGATGTGCAATGAAACGTTTTTGCCACCTCTGATCGGACTAATGTGGACGCGAAACATTTTATCCGTTTACATGTGTGGACAGAAAACTTATTTTTCGGTTTTGGTGTGAAAGTTGCGGGTTCAAATTTATCCACCATAGTGTGGACGGGACCGAAGTTATTGCTGATTCAAAGGTTTTGCAAAATTCAAATTCAATAGCTATTCCCTGACTTTTATATACTATTATAGTATAGTTAGGATAGTAGGCGTGTGCTGATTGGTCGAAAACTGTGCTTCATTATTGAATGGAGCACAGAAAAAGCTGTTTTATTTGTTAAATACATCAATAACATAGTGTTGATCATAGTCGTCACAGGAAGGGGAAGGGGCAAAACCTGTTTTCCGAACATCGGTAAGTTGAGCTATTAAAGTGACTACAAAGATGTTCAGGCCTTTATATCGTAAGGATGGGGGGAGGGGTGGTGCAGGTCCTCTTGGCTATGCCCCTGCAAATGCTATGTTAGGCCACTCTTGAGTAATCACATGTTGATCAATACCTCTCAATGTCCAATGTGGCCAGCCATTGACCAGCGGTTATATTTAACCCTGATTTCCACACAAACTACTTGGATAATGCTAAGATTTATTATATTTTATTTATTTATTCTTAATTTGAGGTTTTCAAAAAATCTCAGACACTCCCCAAAAAAGAAAATAACCTATTAAATGATGCTAGATATTGAAATATCATTACTTATTATTTTATATTTAATATTGAATTTTATTTAAAGATATTCAATTCACACACACAAAAAACACATACAAAAATATTCACCCAAAGAAATATTATTGGCATTCATCTTAATTATATAACTTGTGCATTTCACTAAGTCATAAATGAACAGCACCATCACAGTACTTTAACTTAAGTAAATCTAAGGTAGCATTTGTTTTACTTTAAACTGCTACTGGGTTGTGTACTTTTGTTATCAGCAACAAATAAGAAGGTAAACAAAGAAGTTTATTTTGAAAAGGATAGCATGATGATCTTAAAGTGATTCCCAATATTCTGCAAACTCAGACATTTCAAGGATTGTTGCAAAATTTATGTTTTTACTGCCGTCAGTCAAAATTGTAAAAGGTACTGACTGATTAATTTTCAAATTGATGGAAGGAAAAAACCAATTCCAGTGTGCAGCTTGAAACTAACAAGTTTGCAGAATATCGAAAAGCTGTAGTAAATAGGAAAACACTTCTCCACAGATAGAGGTATGTTTTAAATATATGTGAATCATTACGTTAGTTATTCAGTCCTTGGAACAAGTTGTATTAATTTATAGACTACATTGTTGCTGTGAACTTCACAATTCTTGCTACTCTTTAAAAAGTGCAAAACAAAAAGCCTTAGAATGCAAACAATATATCCATGAAATATTAGTAATACTAACTTACACTATTTTATGCTAATTTTCTCTTGTTTAACTAGCACTATTTTGAGCAATTTAGTAATCAGTGTTTCACAGATATATTGTTTGCACTCTACTAAGTACAAAAATAGATTAATAGCTCTTGCATTTGATGTCACCTGTATGAAAGTAAGCTAGCACATCCTTATTAAAAAGACGTGAAGATTTTATGTTCTTGTGAACATTTATTTATGGTTGAGGATAAGAAAAATACTGACTATATATGAGCTGGGGCAGATCCAGGAATTTTTTAAGAGAGGGTGGCTGCCATAACGATGACAAGACAATCTTTTAAGATTTACATGGTATGATTCCCTCCAACAACTGATACTGCACATGTCATCAGCACATTGCGCACAACAGTCATGAGGAAAAATCATGCACATAAATCGGCCTTAATGCAGTCATTGTTTTATTTTCAAATCAACTTTTTTAAAACTGCTGTATGGATTTGGTAGTGGTTGAAAAAAATAAAGGACATACTCTTGTAAGGACGTTATCATTTTAGTAATGAATGGGTCATTTATACTGAGGATCGTTTGCAAGCCACACCCTTCACGCCCATGGATCTGCCCTTGGCAAATTTCTTCAACTTTGTTCTCTACCAGCAATAACCTCTTTAACAATATTCAGTGAATTCTTAGAGTGATATTCCATATATGCAGTACTGAGAAAACCAAGTTCAAAATGAACATGTATCCACAAACAATACCAAGACTCTGTCCCTGAGAACAAAACAGTGTTTTCACAGACAAGTTGACAGCTCCAGTCAAGAGATTGGCCAATAGGAAGTATGCTAACTGATTGCGATTTATTGCTGTAATCAGACATGCACAGTACGTCTGTCTGATTGGCTTCCGTTTAAGTGATTCTGTACTAGCATAACATACTTCACAGCCTGCAGCCTTGGGGTTGTCACTCTTTGTTACCATGGTAACTGCTACTATCAGGTCAGCGAGGAGAAAGCTTGAGAGAAGTTGGATGTTGTATGCCATCTGAAAGTCATATCAGAAAATGATTCCCTTTCACACCTAGAGTCTGATGCACTTTCCCATAAAGGTGCTACCTCTGCAGGCACCTTTATTTAGAATTCATTGGTTAAAATTGGGATTCCCGTGTATTACTGTTATTATTTCTTCTCAATTATATAGGGTTCACAATCCCAAATATTCCCAAACAGAGTTGGCAGTAGAGGACCTTGCTACAGTAAATTAAGTTATAAATTGGAAAAACTATGCAATACACACCTGCCATAGTACAAAGGTCAGGTTAGCCATTCGTCTTGATACAGGTTGAACATTATTACTGCATGTTATAGTCAATACCCAGAACAGAATGTCCAAGAGCACTAGGAGAATAAAGGCTTTGAGCCATGATGAAAATGTATCCCTGATACAAAAATGACCGAAAACAGTTGATTACTCATAAGGAATTATTTTTTCTTGGAGCATGATTATTATCATGAGCAATATACACAGACTCATTTCATGAGTCATAACTCTCAAACCAACCCTAACTTATAAATTCAAACTGGTTAGAGCTGTGCTTCGGGGTCATACATGGACTGTATAGCGGCTGCCAGAGGCACCTTCACATGCTTTCAGTTTGACCCCATTGAGCTGCGCCACTGCTGTACTTGCTGTGGTGATAAGCGATAACAAGTCATTTTTTATAAGTGAAGTATGTAATCAATCAGATAATCCAGCTACCTTAATAGTTAACATTAGGGCATATGAATGTGAAATCCTAGCATCTAAAATCCTACAAACACCACTCTAAAAACAGGCCTCTTGGTGTCAATAGACCTAAGCTTTTCTTATTTCAGACCATGTATGTATGTCTAACAGTAGTTGCACATGACAGGACACAGGAACATGGATACAACTTGAACATTTGAAAGATTGCAAAAAATCTCATTCTCTAGGCCAAATTAAAAAATTTTACAGTCCATTTAAAAAGTTCATATGTGTGCTTTATCCTATAAAAAATAATCAGCCTTCAAATGCTACTTACCTCTTAATAAACAAGAACCTTCCTAATTGTAACCCCATCAAATACAATGCAAGGTATCCTATGCATGAGACCATCCCTTCCCTGTTAGCATTTACAAGACCATGCCTTGAGCCATCGCCTCCACTGCCATGTAAAATAAAATCTTCAAGGCCAAGTTTTGACAAGCAATACTGGTAGAATATTGCAAGACCAAGGCCTGTAGGTCCATATGCATTGGGACTGGTGATTAGGTACACAATAATTGTTGACAGCACCTAAAAATGAGGGAGAAGTGTTTGTAAGGAAAGTATGGATGGTGTGTGCTGCTAATGCACTGCGTCATACTACTGTGTGCATGGGTTAGATCCTTTAATTCACTTTCATACTTGAGTAGAGCTATTTGGCTTTCTCCTGTCAGCTTCAAGAAATTCATCTGATTTGACTATACCAATAATATGAAGGATGGTATATGGGAAGCATTAGGTGGTGTGTTCTGCTAATGCAGTGGTTTTGATCCCCAAATCAATATCATATGAGTAGAGTTGCTTGGTTTTCCCTTCTGTTTTGATATTTTTTCACTGGCTTCTCAATTTTTCCTCTCTCCACAAAAATCAACTATTTAAGAAACCAATTTGATCATGAAACAAGGGCCCTAGGTTTATTTTTAGCTACATGTACTGCCAAAATAACAATGCACACAAATCATTTTGAAAATAAAAATTCCCTGGCTTTTCCCTGACTTTTCCCTGACTTTTCCCTGACTAAATAATAGTTTCCACTGACCTTGTTGGGCCGCAAGGGCGAGTATGGGCCACATGCCTAACTTTTACCTAGGCCCTACTCTTACCATATTACACAGGATACCCAACATAATTAAACTGTCCGGCATAAATGATATTAAACACTTCAATATTTTTTTCATTATTTGAAAAGATTTATCAGTCTATTCAAAAATTGCAAACAGTATGAGTATCACACGGATACTCATAGTTAACTTTAAACAAAATTTCCCGACTTTTCCCTGACTTTAGGTGAAAATCACAATTTCCCTTACTGAATGAAATATTCCCTGGATTTTCCCTGACTGTGTTTTTCCCTGACTTTCCCCTGACCCCTGGGAACCCTGTTGAATATGCCTCTAATAAAAATTTGATAAAGCTATACTATATCATATATTTTACCCGGACAATAAACAGTGTAATGAAGAAGTTCCAGTGCACACCATATTCACTGATATGCTCCTGGTAATCAGTGCTCTTGACAGCTAAACATCTCAACAAGCCAAGAACCAAGAGAGGAGAAGAGCTAATTAAAGACTTTATGAATGATTTTAGAAAACTTGTTCCTTTCTTGCTGACATTCCTTGCTTCTGGTGCCACAATTGCATTTGAAACAACAAAAGCACCAACACCAACATCCATAATACCAGTACCATAGGTTTCTGCTTTGGCAAACCTTCTTGGATAAATAGGAAAATCAACAGCTAGGATAGATATTGCAGTTGCGATGAGTACATATGCTCGAAAATTACAAATAAAGGGCTGCCGTCCATTAGTTCTTGAGTGCAGAAGTGTTTTTGTACTAAGATTGCCTTCGAAATAGTTGACTGCTGATTTTAAAACCATACAAGAGCCAATAAATACTGCCATAGCGACAAGCATCTTGGAAGCATAATCAGCAAGCACAGTAAAGGACAGTATTATTGGAATCACTAGTGTCATGTAATCCAGGAAGAGGATGATACTGAAATAAATGAAAAGAAAAATTATTTCAGTAATCTTTAAAGTTTTTTCATGCCTTTTGATTGTGTAGTTCCAAA